CTAATGATAGGAGTATTGCGCCATCTGTTGTAATCGTTGAAAATGTTAACTACATTGATATTAATATTCTAAACGAGAGTGTAGAGCCATCTTTTGAAACATTTGTCAACTACGTTTTACACAGAAAACAATTTACACTACAATGTACATGCAATGTCAACGTTACTTTATTTATAAAAGATAGATGGCGTTTATATAAATTCTTCTTTTGATTCAAACTAATTTGTAACATTAAGATTTTTTTTTAATTTAAACAAAATACATAATCAGAATTTAATAAATATTCGGAATTTTATCTTCTTTAGATAATAAAAATAGTCTCATGATTTTTAATAGAAATTATATAGAGGTACTTCAATACTCAGTAAAAGCAACAAGATTATCACAATCAAACACAAATAACGTGACACGATAAATACGATATAATTACTAATCGTTTTTTCAACTTATGTAGTATTATTTTAATTTTACATATGATATTAAAACCCATATATCTTAATTTCCTACAAATACAAGTAATATTACCTAAAAAGTACCTAAGAAATTCGTGTATATAAGCCGAGGTGATCAACAACATTCTTGAGCAAAATGTACAAATTATAATTAAAAAACTATGTGATTCCCCTAATTAAGTGAAAACAACTTACCAAAAAATTCACAGCAATGCAAACACGCACAAGTGAGGCCATAAACAAAAATTAACAAGAAAAAAGGCGCCAAGAGCATTAAATAATCCATTTTTTATATTTTTATTGAACAAAAACGCTACGAAAGAACAACGGCGAATGATAATAGTTATCGGTACAGATTTGATAAAGAATAATTAATAAATCGATCGACGTTACGGTTAGTCATCAGATTAGGTCAAAAAAAATTATTAGCCGAGAATATTGAAGGTTTGCAGCAGTTGGAATACTATAAATTGTATAAATAATATTTAGTCAATTATATGCTTTTTCAAATACATCTGTTTTCATAGCTTAAAACACACCTTTCCACCGTAGTAATTAAATAAACTGTAAGTTGTAACCTATTTATATACAAAATCAAAAGAAAATTTCACATGACTTTATAATGTGACCGTTCCTTCGTACATCAACTCAATAGTAGTCTCTAACGCCAAGTAAAGTATTAACTTTATAGAATGAAATAAACAGTGCGGTCGAATCCATACATTATTTTGTTACAGCCCTTGAGCATTCTAAGGTGTAAAATTTCTTGGCCGATTTAAAATAGGTTTTTGATAATACTTATCGGTGATTTAGCCTTATGTATGGTTATGTAATAATTAGATTTGATCGATTTCTGTTTACATAGATAAGGTTTCTGATGATTACAACAACAGAAAATGGAAAAATACCCGTTCAAATAAACCATTCAATACAAAATATACAAGTTTTATTCCTGATTTCCGAGGTATTTAAACCCAATTTAATATTAACATCATTTTCGTGAAAGTTTTTAAAGCCATTGAGTTTATAGTTTAACGTTTAAACTTGGTTTAATTCGACGGAACAAATGGTCAGCTAACCTTTCTTTACGTGTTTGATAATTAGCAAAATTTGTTCGATAATTGCAAACAAGAACGGCTGGTATAATTGCAAATATAAACAGTAAAATTTTGGTTCAATTTCGAGGTCATGGCACGAATTTTCATACAAATTGAATGAACAAAATTTGATTACCACTAAGGTCACGTGGAAAAATAAACGGGCTGATTTTCTCGACGTCATGGTATGAATAAGCAATATGTCTCAGTTGTAGATTGTCAATAGGCCCCCTGTTATTTGTCAAATCAAATCCACATTTATTAAATAGTTTTGGTAACTATGTACACTTTAGAACGTCAATATTTACAAAAAATGAAATTGCAGTTTTAGTGTGATGATAAGTTATCATTATCATTGAGAATCACAACTTTTAACCAACTGTGTACCCATTTTATATTATGTAGTATTAATAATGAAAAGCTTAATATATTATATAAATTATAAACCGTACGTAAATCATTCAGACATGCGCTTGTTTTTCTTTGTCTTATCCCGATAAGAGAAGATTTAATCCAAAAAGACTGATCAGCAACTTGTGTACTAAAAGAATATCACAAAGAACCAATTCAAATACAGACTACTACACAATGTACTTACGAAAAATATTCACGATGTATATTCCGATAACATAGTCACACACTTGCAAATATATTAATATCAAAAACAGTATAGCAACGAAACACGCCAAAAAATAAATCTCTTGAACAGTTAAATACATTTTAACTAATAATTTTGTACTGCCACTTAAAACTACTAAACAATATTGTTGTGTTTATTGAGATAAGCAAAATAATCTGATTTCAACTTTATCCTTCACTAATAAAGTTTAAATTTATACTTATACAGTTATCGAAGAAAACCAATCGGTGTGAAAATCGAGAGATTATCTTTCCGTTAGCAAATAACTTGGAACCTTATTTAGAACCAAATTAGAGTTGTAATTTCGTTGTTAGTGTTTCAGTTTTCTTATGAAAATCCGATAAGGATTGTGGCGTGCGAAAAACCATTGTTAAATGATCCTTTTTAATCTGCTTGCCGGTATAAACAGAGGTCAGTATTGTGATATAAAGGGTTCTACTTATATTGGTTCGTCACTAATACAAGGTTATATTGGTGGTTCACTATAATATGTATCATCTTCAAAAAGTTCCAACATTTCAGATAATATATTTGCGGCAAAAATGTTTCGGTTTTTACTTTGTTTATGAGTGTTAACGATTTCTTATTGTGTCTTCGAAGTTTTCAAAAACACATCAAGCTTCAATGGAATGTTTTAATCATATTCAATTTTAACATATTTTACCCCGTTCTGGCTTATTGCACTTATATTATGTGAAAAGAAGACAAAATACACATTAAAAAACAAAATTACCCTTAATTTGGAAATAGCGTGACTCGGGAGAAATTGCATTTTTTGCGAGTGGCATAATTATTATATTCGTACGTGACTTGACAGCTTGACAGATGATTTGTGTTTTTGTGACGCAGAGAAACTTTGACAGTTGTTTGCAGGTTTTGGCGGAAGAAATAGATATAATAAAAACTACCGTTGCACATTGAAATATACTCTAAAATCTTGTATTGTTTTGTTTGTTTGCTCATAATTTAAGAAGTGTTAAAACAATAACATCAGAAATAGTTACACCCACAGCTTCCTTTTACGAACAAATTATGCTGTATAGTCAGCAAATATTAATAATTTCTTGACGGCTTTGAACAAATTTTACTAGCTAGTTGCAGGATTCGTGTATTTTGGATCCATTTAGCAATTAATGTTAGTAGTGTAATTAAATACATTGCAACGCCTTAGACAGGTTATTTTAAAATATTTGACTAACGGCCCTCGCTACTTTACAGTAACATACTCATGTATACTTAATGTATTATACTTTTGTAAACAATTAATTTTAATTCTGTATGCCGTGTAGTAACAATAGTTTAGTTATTTCGTACAGTTCATGCACTTTCTTGGATACTTTTCTAACTTAGTTTGAAATTTTAAAAAAATAAATATAATATTTATGTGTAGTTTTTAAAATACTTAAATCTTTTTAATTCGTAAAACATATAAAACTAGTGGAGCCCACAGACGTTGTCCTGCATGATATTTAAAGCGATTAGGATATTAAGCAAAGTATGAAAGTACCGACTGCAGTGCCATCTGCCGGGCTGATTTGTGAATCTAAACCATTCCCACTGAACACACACAAAAAATTTCATCAAAATCGGTCCAGTCGTTTGAGAGAAGTTCAGTCACATACACACGCACACAAGAAATATATATATTAAGATATGTTAACAATAAACTAAGATATGAGGCTGTAAATTAAAAATAAAATCAGAAACAGACTGATGTCGAGACAAATCATGTTATGATTATAATTTTCTTCTATCCGTACTTTTGCCAACGCCAACTGCAAATACAAAATAGATTTATTCGCGATTGTGTTCAAGCAATATTTCTGCTTTATTTTGCCCCTGTTAATTACTACCTTCACTTTAACGAGATCAGTATTCACACAGGAATAAAAATACTTTAGCTAAAAGTGACTCATACCTTATTTTTTATTGTTATATTTGAATGTCTTAAGCATGGGCTGGCAATTTACGAAACAATGGCACATTTGACGAACGGTCTTATGTGACCGTCAACGACTACTTGCCGAGCGGTTTTGCTTTTTCTACTGCATTTACCATCGAGAGTGTACAGAGGAGTTGTTCGGATTAATACCTGCAGCTGAGTTTCATCATCGAACGTCAAGACTCAAGGCAGAATACGTAATACCATCCGTATCACCTCGTAGTCCGGCGTTCCAAACTGAACGTTTCTCGAGGCAGTTTTTGCCGCGCACGACCACGACACTTGGAACCAGCTGCCCACTGAAGTATTTTCAGAACCGAGTGTCCATAGGCGGTGGTATCGGAGATTGTAACGCCCATGTTAACTGCTTGGTTCTGACCGTGCCTTGAACGGTTCTGCGACAAAATTATTAAATATATAAAGGAGGCAAACAAAAATGAAAGAACGGGTCTCGCAAACAATCGCGCCCCGTCTCGTCTATGAATATTGTCAATAATAATATTACCGATGTATCCGGGGTATATCTCGCGAGACGTATGATGTAGGTACCTTTTTAGTAACAATATAAAGGTCGGCAACGCACTCGCGAGCCCTCTGGCATATTCAAATTATATTATATCTAGCAGGAGCAGTTGGCATCCTCATCTTCTTGCCAAATTAGTTAGTTTATAATTTATACCAATAGCATGGAAATTGTTACCGCAGCTACTGAGTTGAAAAGAAAGTCTTCGTCAATATTTTAAGAAATTACGCAGTTACAGTGATGTAAGTGCATTTTAGTTTGTATTTTCATCTGATTGTTATTGTTTATAAATGTAATTATTTATAAATATGAAGAATTTATATGAAACCTTTCAGTTGTTTTCTCGATGGAATACGGTGCTCTTGTGTTTATTATATTTATAGGTAGGTTCCATTTCTTTGTAGACTGTTTACCCATTTACCATATTATTGTATATTTAATAGAAAATCTAAGGTCGAACAGGCGTCCAGGCTTCGTCTACCTAAGCATCTTTTCTAAGCAGTAGCCATAATTAATTATGTAGCTAAGGCCTAAGGGACTGAACGGGTAGACTAAGAAAGAAAAATATACTAAATAATATTTACATACTTATATCAGGCTTATATCAGGTAATTCAATTGGAAAGGTACCATGGATCGGAATACTAAAAGTGAATTTGGGTAAGTTTGTTGCATTATTAAGTCGTCTTTTTCAAGATTATTTAGGATTACGTTATAAGTATAAAGTCTCGCGTCAAATTAAAGAACATTAATGATAGAACACGGACTATGCAAAGCTGAGTAGTGTTTCAGTAAATAAGTGAACAAAAAAACAAATCATATTTCGAATTCTAGGCAAAGTAGACGCGGGGACTGGTATTGTTTTGATAAAGGAAAACGTCGCCATTGCAGTCTCCAATGAAGTTTCAAAGCTAAGTGATGATTTAAGGTAGATTGACGCTTTATTGTTTAAATTATATTAAATGCATCGTTAACTCATTATAAACTTGAGTCCAGCTTTATTTTTTTTAAAAAAAGTGTGTGTGTGTCAGCTACGACGCACGATTGGAGTTTACTCCTTACGAACGATAAAATGGCGATAATGTTCTGTGGCTGTCGACCATATTTTCATACTAAAGGTGGTAAGAATATATGTTTTTATAATATAAATGTTTGTAGTAGTAATAAAACGTACCTACATCATCTATGCCCAAATAGGATTTTCTTTCTGTGACCAAAGTTACCTTTATAGTAAGAGAAGAATAAGAATGAACAATCTTTTTAGTTTTAATTTCACTGACCATTACTATTGACAAAACTCTATGGCACGCTAGACTAAGACAATCTACTTTTATTTTTTACACCTGTCAACACTGACAATGTTGTAACGTGGCTGTCAAAACGTGAATTCAAAATAGAAAAGTCTGTGTAATGTATTCCATCTCATTCTTTTACACGTTCAATCCATTTGTCTCTTTCTACATAACGCCTCAACTTTTCGTGTTACACATAACGCCTCAACTTTTCGTGTTACACTTGATTTTACTCCTCATAAAATTTCCGTACCGGGCCTTATAACTCAAATCGTTTCTTAAGGAGTAAACTCCAAAATGTATTTATTAGTTTTATTTAATCAGTAAAATCTAATTTTATTTATATTTAAATATTTCCGTATAGTCAATTTACTCTCCGTTAGGAAACACATTTTACACCTGGTAGTTAGATATCACAAGCGGTACCTTTTGACAACGACAAACTTAGAAGCAGACGCTGCGATATAGTAGCACCTGCTACCCAGCACACCACGACAACAAAAAATATGTTGTTTAGGAAGAGAGAGTGAATCTCTCTCATTCGTCGTGAATCTCTCTCATTCGTCGTGAACACAGTTTTTGTAAACCAGTTCATTGATTAGTTTCCGGAAAATTTTGTTGTAAAAGAAAGTAAAAGACAAATTATTTATTTCAATTAGGCCTATTAAAAAGGCACTTTTGAAAGTCAAAATTACAAGTTAAAAATATTTAAAAAAGACTAGTTGCCCTTCTAAGAAGGTAGATTCATATTGATAAGAATGGGCAAGAAACTCCATACTAATAATGATACCTTTATTTTTTTTATTAATAATTGTTAGACTGCAAAATTGCGCTTACTCACCTCACTCACCGGCCCTAACTAACTCTGAGTTGACGCATATATTAATTCAACGCAACTTATTTATTTTAATATGGTTTCATCGGTTTCATTTAAATATTCTCCTCCAGACAATAAGTTACGACAGAATTATGCCATTAAGTGTTTTTTCAGACTGTCAGCTAGGATATATTTTTATAATCACGGATTGTCCACATGTTACATAATAGATATGAAGACGCATCCAGAGTATTACAAAAACGTTCTTAACACAATCACATTAATATTTGTTAAGTGTTTAAGCAAATTATGTAAGTACATTTGTCCTATAATGCAATGATAATGATATGAAGACTTTACATATGTTTCACTAGTCATCAAAGGTGTCTTTTGCTGTTAAATTAAAATATCGTTTTTGTTAAGAACTCAGCCCACGATCTACATGCTAAGCACGCAAAAAGCGGTGCGATCAAAATGGCCGGTATTGTAAATTGGTAATATGAACGAATTGTTAATTTTACAATTTTTTTTTTGTTTACAGGGACCTATATACGTTGGCCGCAAGAAAATATGGTATATGACAGAAACCTCTTTGCAATTGGATTAATTGATAGTATGCATTTTTTAATCAAAGTTATAGGTTGTAGCGGTTTGTTCATTTTAGTTTGTTTATTTCAGATAAAGCTGGGTTTAGTCAAATTAGTTATAATGTTGACAGAGTCAATAAAAATAATTGCGAACAATTTTATTTAAACGAAGAGGTAAGTCATTTATAAAAATAACTGAAATTTTAATACAACTCCAGAAAAGGAATTATTAAATTGCCTTTTTTTATAGGTTTATATTTATATTGAATATTTTTACTACACTTATATAATCAACGAATGGTGATTTAGAGTAAATCTTAGTATTGTTGGAAATAAATTGATATTTAAATTACGTTCCTATTAATTAACAAAACTTATTCTTTCGCAACGCATGTCAGCTTTAAGAAAGGTTTATTTAAAAATAAAAAAAATATATATATTCAATTCCATTGATAATAATTACTTTAAAGACACTGTTTACTTTAAAGTAAGTTTTAGAGTTACAATACTAATTATTCGTCAAGTAATATGGTACTATTTTGCCATAGTGAAGAAAAGTCACGAAAGCACTGTTACTATCAAAATACTTTAAAAACCATTTTTGTGCATCTCCAATAGGGTTGTCTGTGCCAGAAAATATTAATTTATTCTTTTACATTACAGTTAGATTACCACTCACTATGGCCAAGAAATATAATATGTGTGAAAGCCGCTATGAAAAAACAGTGCGTTTTTGAAGCGGGGATGCCTCTTGTTCACAAGAATGGACCTATTTGGACTCTGGTTATATTTAATTTATAAAAAATACCTAAATTCTTTATATGACTGAATAAAATATCATGTAAATAGGGCTTATTAAAACCTGGTAGACAGTCTGTCGATCCCAAAGCTTGCTCTTTTATTGCATAGCTCTATTATTATTAGAAATTCTACCAGTCAGTAGTCAAATAAATATTTTAAATGTATTAATTACTCTTTTGAATATACAGTAATTATTGTATGTTCATTTCGAACGCCCCTGATATCTTTAAAGTTACCTTAAGCTACGTAAGAGCTAGGCCCTGGCACAAATAATTTGTAATTACCTAACACGAGCACACAATGCACATAATATTAGTTTTAAATGTTAAAAATAGCTAATTTCTGATTTCATGTCTAGGTTGGGATAAGCACCCTTGGTCCTGGTTGTTCTTTACCATCCCGATTTATCCTGCTCTCCCCGTATGTTCCCTGGATAGAGAGAAACTTATTTACATTCACAAGTCGGCGTAACAAAGAGCTAAACAAAAACGTAACAGTTACTGAAGACCGGTTTTTAAGTGAAACAATTGACAAAGAAGACGACTTTGTTATATCAAAGTTCAGTGATTCTAGCATGGTTATGAGAACAAGTACGTATAAAACCGAGTATTCAATTGTTTTTATTTATATAAAATTCGAGTAAAATATTTAATCACTTCTGAAGAGATTTAATATAACGCTTGGTGATTTAGACATATCATGAAAACGTAGATCGCAGTTTCTTCTCAGTGCTAGACATTTTTTAATCATCAAGCTCGTCTAAATAAACCAATATTTATACCAATTCTGATTTATAGATTTATCCAATGTGGTAGACAAACATGGAGAATGTACTAATATTGACGGTGAGATCATGTACAGGGATGAGGGACGAGTTGAAGCCAGTGGATACACTGCAACTGGGACCTATGCAGTAAACACAATTTTTGCTCTTTTTAATTATTTAACTTTAATTGCAAGTCTGTTATATAGGATTAAAATAGGTCATACTACTCCACAAATTATACAGTTCGGTGTGTAAATTTGTTTACTGAACTGTATTTTCAGTTCGATTCGAATTCACTTCGATTTTTTAGAAGTCACTCATTAAAAGCAATCCATTTTAAATTTTATCAGTCTAATTAAACTGTTTTAAGGTTAATACTGGTTTTTATAGATACTATTTGACTGCTATTTGAATAATATTAAAAGAGAACTTTTTTTGTTCGAACGCCCATGGAGTAATGTCATAAAAATATTTATATAATCTCATTCGGTAATATTCTAATTATGAAATGAAATACAGACTTTTATTGGCATATGTAAATAAATACATACATCTTTAAGAAAATTAAAACATTAAATTAAAGCATTATTCTCCTAACAGAACAATGCTTTAAAATATATTTTTTATTATTAAAGTACAATGTGTCCCGACCAAGGAGGTTTCAATTCAATTTAAGTACACATAATGTACCACGCGCAATGAGCGCGCAACGTGCTGGTTCCGAGCCAATAGACCGATAACAGACATTTTCCATTTTGGCGCTATTTAGTACATACGAATTTGAGTAATATTTTGTTGGATAAAGCTTTAGAAGCAAAAATATCAAGCAACACCGACGATACTTATAAAAATTTAACTCCACCTGACATTCTAGAAACAGCTACGAAACTCACGAATAGTGTTTTGCCAGAAAAATCAAGAAAGGCGTACGACAAATGTTACCAAGACTTTATGACTTGGAAACCTATAGCCATGAGATTAAATAAAGTAGTGTATGCAACTGCACATAATTAGGTATTAAAACACTCGTGTAATATTATTTTGTAAAAAACTACACGCATCTTTTAATACCCTCTATTATATGACAGTTGCATAAACTACGATTTTTTTACGTTACTAGTTCGATTATACCTTGTTTGTTTGTATCCCTGTGAATTAACAATAGAAACTACTAAAAATATTTTTAATTTTCCAGCTTTCCCTGTACGACACATATTACAATAAAATCACGTGTGTAATGATCCGTGTCTCCTGCAGCAAACGTACGCCAAGCAAACTGTGGTACGACACCGGTTTTCACCAGGAACACATAGACCAGCTCTTAAAAACGGTCCCCATATTCAAATGGAACCAAACCGTACCCCCAAAAATCGTTTATAAAATAGACTCGTACGCAAAACACGAGAAATACAGCACAGTGAACGTAATTTTCAAGTTTGAGTTTACAAATAAAGCGAGGATTTTCGTTGATTTTTACGCTAGAAGATCCACTACAACAATGATACCTATACCAGATTATATGGATTAAATTAATTGAAATAAATGTATTTGAATAAAGTGGTGTATAATAATAATAATCTGACATTTACAACTAAGTTTTTCGAGAGGTTTCTGATATATAACACACTGTTACAAAGCTGCTGAATTGCCGGCTTTGAGTTGGTACGCTGTATTATTGAAGAACTCTGAATCGTATTGAAATACTACCACGGGCACCTGATTCCATACAAAGTTCCGCGAATGTTTTTAACATAAAAATTATATTTTCATGATTTTTGATGGCAGTTATTCTTTTGACCTAGTATCTGCTATAGAAAATCATAGCAATCAATGCAATGTATGTTTTGATTAATCATTGTGTGTATTTAGTAGCGACTGTATTATTTAAATATACAAATTGTATTCCAACCTTATAGAACCGTAGAATATTCGTTGTTCCAATTTCAATTACAATTAAAACGTTATGAAGATATTTTAAAAAGTCGATTGATATACATCAACGAGTCATAACTATGCTAACACAATTTGTGTTCAAACATAATTATAGCGAGATGAAAAAAGTTACGGGGTAACTGGTTTTACATTTAAATTTTCGTGATTTCTCTGTAAGCACAGAGGATTTTGCCACACGATAGCATAATTGTAAATGAAAATAAACACTCGCTAAGGCTAATTACCAAAAGTAGCCCATTAAATGTAATTATACTCTTTGGTATAATGTAAACGATTACTTGATCCAACGCTGAAGCCAGTTCGCAGTTCAAAATTAACTTATTATAACAGGGTCAGAAAAAGTAAGCCCGAGCTTTCTTGGCTCTTTCGTTTCATGTATTAAAAAAACAGCACAGTTGCGAAGCTGGGAGTCGAACTTCAGGTAAATAACCTGTTACTTTGCCTTAAAGATATTTAAAAGTATAAAGTTCGCGCAATTGCACATTACATTAGAAAGTACGTTATCTTTGGTCATCAGATTAAAATTAATTTTAAGGCGGCCCCGGCGCTACTGTAGCTAAATTGGTAAGCATACACAGAGAATCGCTCTAGTCTTGTTTTTAGACATTCTGTCTCAATACGTTAACTATTTAAAGGGAGAGAATTACTATTTAAATTTTTAAATTTTAAACGGCTTTTATGATTAAGTACTTTTGCAAATAATGTACACATTGTATTAAATACAATGGCGATACAGGGAACACCCACGACTAGGATACTTTAATAAAAGTGCCTCGAGCGAAACTTCGACAAGCGATCGAGTTTGTAGAAGGATGCTTTGAAAAAGATAAATACAGCGAGTTAGTTCGATCAGTGTTGCTTTTGTTTTGTAAATATTCTTCAATACCTCATCCAGTAAAAACTTTATTTAAAGATACGTAATTTTAAAATATGTTGAATATTTTCTCTTTTAATTTTGTCAAGACTTTGATGCTTTGGCGTACATCTTATTATCGTTACAACTGCAATTAAAACTGATTCTTTTTATTTATCAATTTTTAATTATTAACATTACTACGTAGGTTAAGAATATTGTAAATTTTTTATTATCTAAATATTATTAAAACTTATATAGGTTTATTACATAAGAATATGTGTCCAAGGATCTTTATTTAGTAAAAACCTTTCAGGAGTTACGTTACATTATACTGAAACAATTTTGCGATAAGTGCTTATTGTAAAGACTATGACTGCTTTTAGAAATCGCGGTACAAAAACAAATATTTATTTCCGTACCACAGACATAGCATAAGCATAGACAAGCTCTAGCCTCTATGAAACCGATTCTATCACAGACTTACTACACAGACAGACTCATTAATTTTATAATACACAGGTTAACCTCCCTCAAAGACGATAAGGTCACAGACAATTTAACTACACCAATTCAGATAAAACTTAATTACCCAATCTAAGGGCTAATTTGGAGGCTGAAAATAACCGTTTTGAAAACGATTTCATTTTGATAATATTGCCTTATTCATGGTACTTTAACTTCGAGTAGATCTTTGAACCCTATAACCACAAATAATCACTGCAAATTCGAATCATTTGAAACCTCGCTCATCCAGATGTATGCACGGTGGAGCTATGCTTGAACAGACTCAAAATAAATACTCGTTAATTGACCTCGTTTGTATTTAAAATCTGTTAGAAAGTACAATAATTAAATGCTGTAAAAATAATTAGGTCTTAGGATTTATATGCTCTTGCCGCTATACGAATAGGGGATCGTTGAAGATTAAATTAAAACAGAGGTTTTATATGGATTCATTAGATTTAAATGTATACTTAAAATTTGAAATATTATTATATATTATTTAAGAACCCCGAATTATTTCATTAGAGGGTTGTATTAAAAGGGTGAATATATTGTTTGAGGAGTTTTGCGTGCTGACATCAGCTTTTGTCATTTTTGATGGGACATTGGCGCGCAGAATACATTCCTTGATGTCATTTTGACACGACGGGATATTGCGCGCTGACTACTTCACCTGCTCTCTTTTCCATACGGGTGCACAAACGCGCGCGACGGCCATGTGGTAGATAATCTTCTACTGAATTGTTTTCTAAATTAAGTACCCTTCTAATCGTAAACAATATACTATTGTGGGGTTTTACAGATAAAATGTACCAGTCCTATATTGCTTTTTGTATAAGGAATAGGTAGAATAGGAATTCGTATTGGAATTTGGATATGTGTATATCCTGGGCCTAGTTATGCGCAAGAGTTGAGAATAAATAAATAAATGTAACCTTAGTTAAACGTTTTATAAAAGTAATAGAACTATGAGAGGAATTTATGTATTTGTAACGCGTAAAATAACTGTTTTGATTTACACATATTTACTTTATTTTTCGTATCTGGCCACAATAAGATCTGTGGCAGCTTTAAACCAATTGAGGTATGGATAGATGTCCAAAAATCTAACTGGTCCTCTGCAACTTGGGCCACGTAAACCAAAGCCAATCTGTAAATAAATATCAAACGTCAAGTATCAAAGTGGGTTATTCTAGAATTATGAAGTCTTTAACTTCAAAATGGATAATTACCATTTTTGATACTGCCGGCGATAACAACAAGACGAGTCACAACTGCTATGTAAGATATGAAATAATATGTGTAAATAGTGCAGTGCAGGAGCAGTGTTGGTCTGTGGCTTCAGCGTGCGACTCTCATCCCCGAGGTCGTAAGTTCGAACCCTGGCTGTGCAACCAATAGACGTTCTGTATATGTGCGCATTAAACATTCGCTCGAACGGTGATGGAAAACATCGTGAGGAAACTGGCTAGTCTTAATAAAAGTCTACGGCATGTGTCAGGCACAGGAGGCTGATCACCTATCTGCCTATTAGATTGACAAATGATCATGAAACAGATACTGAAATCTGAGGCCTAGACCCTTAAAAGGTGGTAGTGCCACTGGTTTTTTAAAAGTGTAAATGGGAATAAATACGTTAATAGGACCTCAATAAAAGTTATTTTCATATTTTACATAACAGTATTGACTGTTTTTTTAGTTATTGCCGGCTAAGGTTATGCATTTTTTATTTTTTAAGAATTATAGAATAAGTACAAAGTATCAGAAACTGTTTTTGTTTTAAATTTATGTTAAATGTTTTGAAGTTATACTTCTTTAGGCGCGTTATGAAAAATTTATGAGAGTGAAATTTTACGATGCGCGCGCACCGTGACACAAAATTATCAGTATGGGCGAGCGTGCGCGAGCGAGATGGGAATGAGACAATCTACAAGTAAAAAGAAATGGAATAAAACACTATTTTGACCGGATTGAAGTTATGTATTATTATAAATTTACACTATTTAAATAATTTTAAATTTATCCGAGTTTCGCGTGCTTTAAGGTGCGTGGTCACGTGACTGAAATGAAAAAAAGATGTTGAATGTCAAAAGTATCACAGTAAGAAAGTATTATCTTATTTATTTCCCCAGTTGTATCAAAAAGATGGAGGTTTTGGCAAAAATGGTTACTTCTCTATTTTCCGATTGTTCTTTTGAGATTTTAATTTGGATATTATTGATCCCAGGTGTTTGACTTTTAGGCCTTTTCTATTAAATTGGGGTGTTTTGATTTCAATGGCTTCGCGTACCAATCTTGGGAAGAATCTTCCCCTGAAGTATTTTTGGTCAAAAGTATGTAGTGATTAGGCCTATCTAGTATTGTTACAGATGTGATTTTTGTGTCGCCTATGTCTTATGTCTGATTGTTCTTTGAGTCTCTGGAATTTGGTTTTTCCTATTAAACCAAGTATGTGTTATACCTCATCTTGCAATGGGTGCTACTTGATTGGTCTTAGAATTGCTAATTTCTGTGGTTAAAATTTAGAATAAAGTCGTTTAGATCGTAATCTTTTAATTTTAAATGCAAGTAGGCTGGCTGGCGGGAACTTTTGTCTTGTTTTTGTTTTGTGATCAGCCGGGGATCAGCTTGTTTCTTAGACTGTTTGACATGTTGTTCCTCTCAGGTGGGATCATCACAAAGACGTTGGGCTCTCTGAAAAAACATTTACCGAAGAAAGATTTGTGAAGGGTGGTGGTGGGATTACATTGAGGTACTATCTTGTGGGTTGCCTTCCTTTTTGTTGACCTAGTGTGCAATTTTGCGTATAATTAAAATGTCTAAAAGGGCAGACGGTTGTTGTTTTCTTGTTCAAAGTAAATTTAATGTTCTTGTGTATTGAATTTAAATTGCTAGAAATGCAGATATTTTGTCATTGGGGAGTACTACAAATTGTCATCGAATATTCTTTACAGTCGAGGTTTAAGGGGATTGGCCAGCTCAATATTATCTATATGTCAATATTATCCCTCTAGAGGGCACATAGTGCTCATGTTAAGGACTCTTACATTTGGAAACTGAGAGATTCAAAATACACACTTAAATTTTCTGGTAAATGTTTGTTTCAAGAGCCCAATCTTTGTGATGATGCCCACTCAGGAGGAATAAGCATTCAAACAGGTGCTACACCGAAACAACTCCATCCCCTCATACAAAACAAAACAGAACAAACGTTCCCCCCACCAATGCCAAGTAAAGGGAGTTACAGATAGAATTGCGGATTAAAAGAGCTTCTATTCTAAATTTTCAAACCACAAGAAGATTACAATTTAAGAAATAAAGTAAACCCATTCAAGATAGGTAATACAAACTGATTGGACTGTGACCTGTTTAATAGGGCAAATAAACAATATGTCACAACTCAAAGAAAATTGCAGAATAAGAATAGAGAAAAAAATAAGTCTGTAACACATATAGATTAATACTAATACTTTGAAAAAAGTATTAAAAGAAAAGATTCTTCCAAGATTGTACAACTTAAATCAAAAAAACAATTTCAATAGAGAAGACGGCCTAAAATTGTCAAAACCTGGGATCAATAATATCCATTAAAATCTCAAAAGAAAATAAAAGGAATAACATTTTCCAAAACCCTCCATCTTTATCATACCAACTCCGAAATAAATACAGATAATCAACTTTTCTATTGATACTTTTTGAATTCAAATTTTTGTTTAGTCACCTACACGACGCTGTAAAACCAAATCGGATAAATTTAAAATTATTTAAATAGTTTAAATTTATAATAATATAACTTCAATCGGTAAAATAGTGTTATTAAATAATAAAAGTTATGTTAATCAAAGAATACTAGAAATAGAATATGCGTGACGTTAGCAGCTATGCCAAGAATTTTGAATGACCATAATGACTTTTGTAGTACCTTTAAAACAAATAAAGGAGTTTTAGTTATTTTTTCAAAGAAGTTTAGCAATGGTTTTTCACAAAGACCTATTGTTACTTAGTTAAAAGGTTATGAAACATACCTAGTTATTAAATTTAATTAATAATATAATAAAATAATAAATAATAATTATTATTAATTAATAATTGAATAATATACTAAATATTAAATATTTTTAAATTATTAACGCTAAATATTTATTATTAATTATTTAATTTAAAAAAAACAATATAATTTTATAAAAAACACATATAAAAATTATATTATTTTTTACAATTTAAAAATAAAAATTTTCGATCAAGTAGGTATATTCGTCTGGGCCAATGTTTTAACGCTAAATAAATAAATAAATTATCTATTAAAAAAAAAAAACGTAGGTAATTCAGATTACATACCAAAGTCCAAGTACCGGTTGAATTCGAGGCGAAGACCATTCCATTCTCCCAATCACAGTTTTTAGTATTATTTATTGCAAAACCACACTGATACTGCGGCAAGGATTCTTGTGCTAACTGAAATTTTAAAATGTTTACGGCTCTCGCTAGAACTGCACTTTAAGAGAATGCAAGGCGCTGCTTCAATAAATAAAATATAATAAAAAAATCAGTGGCGCTACAACCTATTTAGGTTTCTTAATCTGTTTCATGGTCATTTTTTTTTCAATCTAATAGGCAAGTAGGTGATCAGCCTCATGTGCCTGACACACGCCGTCGACTTTTTGGGTATAAGATATGTCGGTTTTCTCACGATGTTTTCCTTCACCGTTCGAACGAATGTTAAATGCGCACATAGAAAGTCCATTGGTGCACAGCCGGTGATTGAACCTACGACCTCAGGGATGAGAGTCGCACGCCGAAGCCACTAGGCCAACACTGCTCAATAAATATCAAACATTTAATTAAAAGATTTTGTCACGATAAAATATTAATTATAACTATTTCTGAGTTAACATACATACATTGGCCCTATTGTAAAACTCGTCACATAATGGTCGGGTAATATATTGCATTTTGTATACAACTTTCTCCAATAATTTATTTTCTGAAACAATATTTTAGGAATTAATAATCATTTTTTTTCTCCTCATCTCTCGGGATTCACTTTAAGAGAAATAGTGACTACACACATTGACTTTAAAATATCAATATAATCAGCAGCCGAGGGAGTTATTCCAAATTAAAATATATATTTTTATTTCGCTATGTTGGTAGTATTATTTACGCGGGCAACACTGTTCATACATTGATAAACTGTGATTTCGTTCAATAGTCAAACACATACACATTTTTAGGTTAGATGTCGGTCAATGTAAATATTTTGTTGTGGTAAATAAAGGAAGAATAAGCAAAAATTAATTATGTGAAAAAGTACCCCTCCTAAGGGATATAGGTCTCCCCTACACGGTACCTATCACATTATAGATAAATTTTTAGTATTGAATCCGATATTTTCACAATTAAAAGCCCCTGTAGTATTAATCCAAATACTTTGTTCTTTGTAATAATGATTTTCACGCACTTAATATTTGTGTCAAAACAGGCAATGATTATTACTAATTGCATCCGCGAACTTCGTTTCGCATTAATATGATTTTTTACTTAGCCTACCGTTTCAGTAACTACATAAGGAACATTTTGCTATTCTACCCCATAGAGAGGAAAATCTAAGTAAATAAAACGAAATTTTTCATTTTCCAACCAATTATAAAGAATTCAAGGAATAAATATAAAAAAAATAAACGAATTCCAGCCGTATTAGAGTTCTGCACTTAGCAACATAGTTTGCGATTCCTTTTTATTTTTATAGATAATTAACATATAAACATACCATCGGTATAACCTAGCGCATACAAATCCGTTGACGTATTGTACATATAGTTTGGCCAACATATGGGTTTCAAATTTCGATTTTTGTCTGAAAACATTAGAGCATCACAATCTTACTTTAATATCAGGTTTTCATTATTGGGAAAGCCTCTCAGAATATTACTTTTCTCGCTTCGATGATTTGTGGAACTTTTTTTATATGCACTTGTATCTTTTTTTAATTTTCCATTTCCTCTTCAGTCTTTAAATGCATTTTCGGGCATCCTTTTTTGCGACTGAATATGGTGTGATAGCAAAATTGAAATGGATTTGTTTAAAAGAAATAACAATTGAGCATCGGCACATTGATCTTAATGTTCTTAAAATATTTATACAATTTAATTTTAATCTCTATAATTGTCTATGTTCTACTAAAGTTAAGACTACTGCAAGATTGGTAATGTTTGACACCAATTGGTTCGACTCTTAAGGAACTCTATTACTTCAAATAGTGATGTGACCGATCATTTATCGTATTCAAGGAAGAGCGGTTCGAATCATCGACGACCAATCGCTTCGCGAGCTGCATGGTCCCTTGGCGTTTTGTAGAGATGTGGGCCATTCTGCATCTTCTACCGCATTTACCACGAGAGTGTTTAGAGGAGTTGTTCGGATTAATACCTGCAGCTGAGTTTCATCATCGGACGTCGAGGCATAATACGAAATTCCTCCCTATCACCTCGACGTCCGTCGTTCCACAACTGACAGTTTTTTAAGGCAGTTTTTGTCGCGCACCCGAACCAATTCGCCCTAGGTTCCTTCAAGAAAAGAGCGTACCAATTCTTAAAAGGACAGCAGTGCACTCTCCTAACACAGTCCTCTGGCATTGAGAGTGTCCAAGGGCGGCGGTATCACTTAACAGAAGGAGCCTCCTGTCCGTTTTCCCCTGGTCTATAAAAAAAAGACCATCTTTTCTATTACTATTGCTCGCACTTCATTCACCTACAAACAAAGGTTTCTGTTAAACGGTTGTTGTTTAACTTCTCTGAATTAATTAATATATAATATGGCCCTGCCTTTCAGCATTATTCTTAGTTAGTTTTAAAAATAGCAGGAAAATACGAAGGGACATCTGACAGCAAACCTGAACCTCTGTTTGCATTAGAAGACAGAGGTCTCTTCTTAATCTTACCATGAAAAATATTTACAATTAATTCCAATAACGCGATAGAATTATATGTTTCAAATTCGTACTCCGGATGTGTCATCACGTCGTTGATTCTGTAGTACACAGGTGTTTTATTCGTTGTTATAAACATCGCTTTGCTATCAGTTCTATAAGATAATATAATAGATATTAAATATAACAAGTGGTATGTAATACATGGTTTTTATTTTTAAGGATTTATAGAAATTCTCTAAATCTCTCTCTGATCATACATTTTTGGCACAGAAGATAGAGAATTAAAAAAAAACTTAATCTCTGAGGCAATTTAATTTTCTTCTTCTTTGTATTAGAATTTAATATACAAATTAAGACCCTGGTCTTGATATTTTCTTATTTGTACGATTACCTTCACCTTTATGAGAACCAGACCGAATATTCATTTCTCATATAACAGGTACAGCATGTAATTGTACTCCCGAAGAAATAACACTGTTCTCACTCTATTACTTCTAATAGCAACAGCGATACCGATCCCGACGTTTTTGTATACAACTTCGATAGACTTATTCAATGTGCGCTGATGTCGTAATCTAACTACCGCGCGGTACAAAAACTAAGGACCAAGATTGGATTTGACTGAACCTTGTTGCCAAATAATAATAACATAAATTTCAGCTCTTAATATATGCATTCATGTATCATGTCATGTATTGTCATAACAATTTTATTGAACGTGAACAATGCATGACATCTAGTCATTTATACATGAAATCTCAATTGCGATAGCATTTTTTGTTTTCCCAGATCTTCATGGTATAGAAACTATTTATGACTTACTTAAGAACGTGTTTAGACACTCTGTTGACATCCCCCGAATTGGCTATAGCAAAGTTGGTCTTTACTAATAGTATACCAGTTACAGCCGTTTGGAATAATGTGCCTTTATCTGTAAATAAATCAATATTATCGTCGTTTTGTAATCCAAATCAAATCCAATCCAAATCCAAATCGTGCGTGAGAAAACGAGTAACTTTTAGGTCTAAACATGGGAACTCCATGTTTTCTATTGGATCTATTACATATCTAGGCAAAACATTAAAGTACAGCCCATTTTCGAAAAAAAATCGGTGTAATATAGTTTTTTTTTAATTTAGTAAAATGTAAGAAAGATACTCGTTATGTTGGTTTTTTCTCTGGTTGTGCCCCGCTGGTAAGTGCTCTGCTAACTTCACAGACAGACTAAAGCTGCGTATTTGCGTCATCAACATTGTAAAATACTACGCTAAATCAACTAAATCGTTCAAAATTTTGCTTAAACCACTATTACTTAACCCACTTTTGGACTTGAAATTATTTTCTCCTAACAGTTCTACACTCACAAATTGATGTTTCTTAAAGTTTCAGATGATATTATTATTATGTTTAAATATGTCTTTGCCATGAATGTATTGTTAAATTTTTATCTAGCACAGATTAGTAATTTTTTTTTTAATATCACTCTTATATCTGAATGTAAGCGTCTTATCCGTGACTCGGCTTAGGCTGGACTTCAACTGTCTTACAGTAACGTCTCTGATTCTCTTAGATTACTTAAGACAACCTGGCACGTTGGGCACAACCCGGTAAATGGTCATAATGAAGGCCCTATTTATGCCGTTATAATACTTTAAAGCATTTTAATATCAGTTACAGTTTCTTTAGGATTATCGTAAACAACTAACGTATATGTACTCGTAGAACTCCCAGCCAGGGCAAGTTGCCATTTTCGCCAACATTTCCTTCGTTTAGGGCAACATTTGACTTGTCACAGCTGGTGTCACTTTTTGAAATAGCTAGATCATAACATAAAATTAAATATTATACAATTTAAAGTAAAAAAATTAAACAAAAATTAATTGTACCGAAATCACTCAAGAAGTAAACGAAAATGAAGTTATAATTCAATTTCATTGTGTAAAGATTAAAATTTTTATGACGCGTATTAAGTAAGCTTGCTTATGACTAGATTGTTTATATTTTAACATGAACAATGTTTTTAATTATTATTTAGACTTCTAAAGATCGAGAGTCTCTGAGGCTGTTATGATTATTAATTAAACTTAGAGTGAAAATCGTTTTATCTCGTATAGTCTCATGATAATAAGTAACATGAATAAGTTGTAATACTCGTAATTACGCATGGCAATGACAGTAACTTCAAATAATAAGTATAATTATAAAGACTGCAACAATTATACAAATGAATGCAAAATTTGAGTTACATAGAAGTGAAGGATTTAATGGCTGTTATTACACATTCACACACACACTAACATTCACACATAGTCCAACATTCGTACAGTAAACATATGTATTTATTTATTTATTACCATACAACCATTGATATACAAAAACCCAAGATGCACAATCAACGTCTAAAAAACGTCCTCAAAAAATGAGCGCAACATTCTAAATTGTGCGCTCATTTCAAATAGTCTCGCGTCTATAAGTGGAGTCGATGTTATTTATTTGTGTTTTTTTTATAAATAAATTTATGTACTCTTGAACTTTTTTGTGTGTAGATTTTGACAAATATATTTACGCTATATAAAGTGTGGGTCAGGAGGTAGCCAATTTAACATTTTTTTTTAATTTAAAGAAAAAACTTTTTAACCGGATTAATGTTATGTATTATTATAAATTTACAACTATTTAACATCCAACACCTTTTGTCTTCAGTCACCGTGACCACTCACGCTGTAAAGCACCCGAAAAGTCGGATAAATTTAAAATTATGTTAAATAGTTGTAAATAAAAAAGTCATGTTCGACTCCACTCAATACCTTGTCCTACCGACCACGGTCGGTCGTAAAATTTTATTGCTTTAAGTACGTATACACTGCGTTGTAATAACAACTTTAAGCAATTCGCGTAAGGTTGATTTTGCAATAATATATGCTTGTAACATATACTGTTATGGACAGAAATAGTGTTTCGGGACACTTTCGAGCATTACTTTTATTCGAGACTGTGCATCTTGGGTTTTTTGTATATCAATGCATACAACTTACGAAAGAGATATGGTACAAAATAAACAATTTTGACATTGAATTAGAAAGACTGAACCATTGAATTGATGAATAAATATTATGACAAAAAAATTGCAATTTCTACGCAAATATTTTATTACTCCGCACTGCAGATATTCATACTCATTCACATATCGACGTAGGAAAGCATATTTGCTGTAAGTAGACAAAATACCTAAAGTGACTTTTTCCTGCCATTAGAATCAGAAAAAAGCCGCATCGAATGACCTGGGTCCTGTGTCTCTACGATGAAAAAAAATTACATACGCCGTTGAAAACGCCCGTACTTATATTATTTTTAGCAAGATTAAATGCTGTATGTAGACCAAAATCTAGTCATTTCAGACATTTTGCACTTACAGCAAAAGAAAATCTGCATTTTTTTCTTTACAAATACTTACTTCTTCCCATTTAAAAACTTAACGCTACTTACAGCATTTCAGGGGCGTGTGATTTTTACATTCGTTTACTTACAGCAAGTTTAGGGAACCTACAGTTTTGGTTTTTTTTTACCATTTACGACATTTTATTTCAACCAAACATTACATTACCAAATGACCCACTGCATTTCTAGATCTAATCATAATTATAAACTAATCTTACATCTTGAATTACAATTAAAAGTACCCAAATACATAAATTTCCTGCATACAGCATATTTACCGCCTGTAAATTGATAATATTTCCGCGCGTACATTTTTCTTCCTTAGTTACAGCGTTTTAAAGGTTTGTGATTTAAAAAACTGTTTGCTGTAACTAGCTAAACACGTACTTATAGTAACTTTGGATAAAAAGTTTACATTGCAAATGGTGACTGGCAGTTAAATAAATATATGTTTCAAAAATGGTAGCAATATCATGGATAGGTTAGACACTATTAATTTTTTTCCGAAATTAATAAAGTTTTTTGGCTCTGGTGAACAATTGCAATATGTCTACTTACAGCAAATGTGCTTTCCTACGTCGATATATACATATGTATATATGTTTGTTCAAAAACCTACTATATAGTTTCTTTTTGTATTGTGTATAACTGTTTCATTTTATGTTTTTAGTTAGCGAAAAATTTAATGTTAGTATTCTGAGATTGAATTCACGTCGATTTATAGCGATCGTAAATAGTGTTTGTTATCGGTGATGAATTTAAAAGAAAACAGAATACTAGACGGGCTCGGATTACTTGACTTGGAGACAGCTGTTTTATTCCACTTGGAACCACTATAATTTTTAACATCTATTATAGTATCTTCAAAATGTAGCAGTGTTGGCCTAGTGGCTTCAGCGTGCGACTCTCATCCTTGAGGTCGTACGTTCGAACCCCGGCTATGCACCAATGGACTTTATTTATTCAATTAACACTCGCTCGTAAGGTGAAGGAAAACATCGTGAGGAAACCAGCCTTAAAACGGCGTGTATCAAGCACAGAAAGCTGATGAACTACTTATCTATTAGAAAAAACAAATGTAAAGAAACAGGGTCAGAAATCTGAGAGCCTAAGAGATGACTGATCGACACAGAATTTATTTATTTTTATATATAATTTCAATTAAATATGCTCACTTTTTATGAGCTTATGAATATTTTGTTGATTACTTCAAGATATTCCATAAATCTCACACACAAATAGTCATATTATTATATATAGTTCTAGAACACACAGAATAAGATTTATTGATTTATTTTACAAAAAGTAAACTACCCCAGTCTAAAGACCTTAAAAACGTGGTCATAAGATGTACCTAACTAATTAAAATATTCTGATTGGATAAGGTAAACAAAAAGTATAAAGTTTGTCAAGCTCTTTTACACTTCAAGATGTAGCTCAACCCACGAGGGCGGTTTTCAATTTATCGGGTATTTTTTACATTTAGTTAAGCGTATATTAAAGTGCAAAGTGTAAGATAGTCCCTAATTTAGTAGACGTGCAAGCGATAGTCAGTGCGGTCCTCATTACTCGAATACTTGCTTTTGTTTCACGAAACTTGTTGCTTTGCGAACAAGAAACCCTTTGAAGATCATTCGTATTATGTCAAATCGTAGACTCATTTCTAATGCAATGTCCAACTAGGAAAAGGTTGATAGAAGTGATCGCAGGAAGCTTATTGATGCAGGAATTTTGAAAAAGCTAGAGGAGGCCTTTACCTGTGATGGGGTTCCGATAGGGTACCTACTCAAGGAGAGAAAAAAAATGTATAGAACATATTTATACTGTACTAGCGGACCCGACAGACGTTGTCCTGCATGATATTTCAAGCAATTACGATATTAAACTAAGAATGAAAGTATCGACTGCAGCGCCATCTACCGGGCTGATTCGTGAATCCATCCAGGAAAGAGGAGGAGGTGAAACGATCTAGGACGCCACCTAACCGCATACAAATAATTCATTTAAATCGGTCCAGCCGCTTAGGAGTTCAGTGACATATACGTGACGTACAGTAGAACTATATATATATATATAACATATTGTTAACAATTTTAAAGATTGGAAATAGGTTTTTTTAAAAATAATTACGAAAATATTTATTGCGAACAAGTATGCGATTGTATGAAATAATTTGAAATAAAAAGGAATGGTAAAAGATTTAAAAACAAGGAATTTTGTTGTAGAATTTATTAAAAAAATATCGGAGAACAAAATAACCCATTTATGTTTATTCTACATAAACGTGAATAATTTCAATAGTAGGACAAATTTTAACTTTACTGTGGGGTACAGTACAGTTCCTACGTATAATAGCACTCAAAAATAGTATTATAGGAATAAATCGATACAATATTTGGTTGCTGATAACTTTGCCTTATTTTTTCATAAAGGTGTGAAGTTTTATTTTAAATAAAAAAAAAGTGTGTGTGTGTCAGCTACGACGCACGATTGGAGTCTACTTACGAACGATAAAATGGCGATAATGTTCTGTGGCTGTCGACCATATTTTCATACTAAAGGTGGTAAGAATATATCGTTACGTAGGAAAGCATATTTGCTGTAAGTAGACAAAATACCTAAAGTGACTTTTTATGCCATTAGAATCAGAAAAAAAAACCGCATTGAATGTCCCGGGTCCTGTGTCTCTACGATGAAAAAAATTACATACGCGGTTGAAAACGCCAATCTTATATTTTTTTAGTAAGATTAAATGCTGTATGTAGACCAAAATCCAGTCATTTTAGACAATTTGTACTTACAGCAAAAGAAAATCTGCAGTTTTTCTTTACAACTACTTCTTCCATTTAAAAATGCTACTTACAGCATTTCTGCGGCGTGTGATTTTTAACATCCGTTTACTTACAGCAAGCTTAGGGAACCTACAGTTTTAGTTTTTTTACCATTTACGACATGTTATTACAACCAAACATTACATTACCAAATGACCCACTGCATTTCTAGATCTAATCATAATTATAAACTAATCTTACTTCTTGAATTGCAATTGAAAGTACCCAAATACATAAATTTACTGCATACAGCATATTTACCGGGCCTGTATAATTCACAATATTTCCGCGCGTACACTTTTTCTTTCCTTAGTTACAGCGTTTTAAAGGTTTGTGATTTAAAAACTGTATGCTGTAACTAGCCAAACATGTACTTATAGTAACTTTGAATAAAAAGTTTACATTGCAAATGGTGACTGGCAGTTAAATAAATATATGTTTCAAAAATGGTAGCAATATCATGGATAGGTTCGACACTATTAATTTTTTTCCGAAATTAATTAAGTTTTTGGCTCTAGTGAACAATTGCAATATGTCTCCTTACAGCAAATATGGTTTCCTACGTCGATATGTTTGTTTTTATAATATAAATGTTTGTAGTAGTAATAAAACGTACCTACATCATCTATGCCCAAATAGGATTTTCTTTCTGTGACCAAAGTTACCTTTATAGTAAGAGAAGAATAAGAATGAACAATCTTTTTAGTTTTAATTTCACTGACCATTACTATTGACAAAACTCTATGGCACGTTAGACTAAGACAATCTACTTTTATTTTTTACACCTGTCACTGACAATGTTGTAACGTGGCTGTCAAAACGTGAATTTCAAAATAGAAAAGTCTGTGTAATGTATTCCATCTCATTCTTTTACGTTCAATCCATTTGTCTCTTCTACATAACGCCTCAACTTTTCGTGTTACACATAACGCCTCAACTTTTCGTGTTACACTTGATTTTACTCCTCATAAAATTTCCGTACCGGGCCTTATAACTCAAATCGTTTCTTAAGGAGTAAACTCTATATGTTTGTCTCTTACTACATAACGCCTCAACTTTTCGTGTTACACTTGATTTTACTCCTCATAAAATTTCCGTACCGGGCCTTATAACTCAAATCGTTTCTTAAGGAGTAAACTCTATATGTTTGTCTCTTACTACATAACGCCTCAACTTTTCGTGTTAAATTTTACCCTCCCATAAAATTTCCGTACCGGGCCTTATAACTCAAATCGTTTCTTAAGGAGTAAACTCTATATGTTTGTCTCTTACTACATAACGCCTCAACTTTTCGTGTTACACTTGATTTTACTCCTCATAAAATTTCCGTACCGGGCCTTATAACTCAAATCGTTTCTTAAGGAGTAAACTCTATATGTTTGTCTCTTACTACATAACGCCTCAACTTTTCGTGTTACACTTGATTTTACTCCTCATAAAATTTCCGTACCGGGCCTTATAACTCAAATCGTTTCTTAAGGAGTAAACTCTATATGTTTGTCTCTTACTACATAACGCCTCAACTTTTCGTGTTACACTTGATTTTACTCCTCATAAAATTTCCGTACCGGGCCTTATAACTCAAATCGTTTCTTAAGGAGTAAACTCTATATGTTTGTCTCTTACTACATAACGCCTCAACTTTTCGTGTTACACTTGATTTTACTCCTCATAAAATTTCCGTACCGGGCCTTATAACTCAAATCGTTTCTTAAGGAGTAGACTCCAAAAAATAATAGATTAAATCAACAATTCTTTAAAAGATGAGACATTGATATGTTACTGTTATGCGAGTTCATTCACCCGACAACTTTTGATTTGAGGAAATTTTAAAATTAGAATGCACATCACAGCAGGTGTTATAGTAACCATATACGCGATTTTTAACAAGACTTTATTATGAAACTTGAATTGTGCGTGACTGTATTTATAAAAGTTATACTAAATTATACACTCAAGAGTTTTAAATGTATTAAATGTTTGTCTGACTGGCTAGCTGTAGTAACTATTCCATGGGTATCTCCGGACTTGTTTCCAAAGTGGTATTTGTGTCTCAAAGATGGCTTTAACTAATAAGATAATCGCACTGTAATCTATGTAATATAGTTTTAAGTGAGTCGGATTAAGAGTATAGTTTAAAATCAGTATGGCTTATAGTGTAAG